CTGCTAAAGAAAGATGCTATGTTTTATATCCCGGTGATTCCCCGAACGATATTGTTACAAGTAATGAGGTGTTTTCGCTTCATAGCACCACGAAGAAGCAGACACTCGTTTAATTCTACATGCCAACCACGCAGCAGCAACGTACGATAAAGTTATTATCAAAGGCCCTGATACAGATGTTCTTATACCTGCGATTGCCATGCAACAACAGATGCAGAAAGAGATTTTCTTTTTGACTGGCACGGGAGATAGACGTCGTTGCGTATTTGTAGCAATTATCTCGAAATTCTTGGGCGTGGATGTTGCACTTTGTTTACCAGGCTTTCATGCTTTTACCGGTAATGGCATTAGCAATCAAGCAGCATCATGGTATCAGTGTTTAAGTGCAGAAGTCGATCTCCCATCACTGGTTGGCAATGGCTGGACGCTTGACGATAAAGAGCTGGAGATAACTTGGATGACACGCCCACCCGCTCCGCGATCTTTAATTGAGTGTCAGTTGAGTGCAAGTGCAAGACTGGATGCTCGACCATGCATGCGTTGTTCCTGCAAAAAGGCTGACTTAAAGTGCACCAACCTATGTTCGTGTGGTGATTGCCAGAATGCAGTAGTTGAAGATTGTAACGACGATGACAGCAGTTATGGCCTGGCTCAATCTGATGACGATGATGAACTTGAAGGATCAGGATCTAATCTGGATTTCGGAGATGACGTCGATGATGAATTGTGGTATTAGCTGTCCGATTAAAAGGGTTGAGTTCAACATTTTATTTGTGTTTTAAAATTATAAGGCGCTCGTAATCTCCCACGATGGTATTATTAAAAACGTATCAATATCAACCTTGGTATGCGTGTTCAATATTTTAACATGTACAGTAGTTGTACGTTGCAAATCACAAAACAAAGGGTATGCTGGAAAAGAATTGTGTAGTAATTATTACTCCGCCTGCGTATGCGCAGCGGAGTCTTAAAATGCCATGGTCTTTTTTCCTTTTCGTCGTTTTGGGCGACAGAAGTTGGCATTTCTACAGGTAACCCAAAACATTTTGACCGAGAAGCCCTGAGTTTCACGGTCCACGGATGAATTAGGTACATCAGTTGGCATGCAGGCGGAGTGAACGCCTTGAGCAGGCGTCTTGTTTTATATAAATTGACTAGAAACAAAACGCTCGTGGATGATTTTGATGCGTGTAAATAAAGTTGTTCTTATTTATTTGTAAATTCCAAGAGCAGAATGCTATAAAAAAATCGCAAATTGGCGGATGTTTTCCGATTAATTGTTGTCCAATTCTTTTCTGACTAATTTAGTTTTGAAAAACTATGAAAATTTGCGAAAAACCTCGTAAAACTCCACTCAAAGCTTCCTTGTTGAAACCTGCTTGCACAGCAAAAATTCAGGAAACTTCATTTAAATACCGGTATAAAACTGCTGAATCTGCTATATATGTCGTATATTACACCAAGTATCCTCGACATTTCCTGAATCAAAATGGCGTCGGTGTATTGCAAAACATGCAAATTCACTGATGTTTCGAAGATGAAATGCTCGAAAACTGCAGGTTTGTGAAGGTGAAAACAAGTGAATTTAGACTTTCTATAATTTATCCTAATTTTCTATCGTGTTTTCAAGTAGTGCCCGAAGGGGGGCAACGAAACTGAACGATAATCGGCCACAGAATACGGCCTATTGTTTGCCTGACCTAACTGCGAGTTAGCACCATTCGCCGGCTCATCTATGGAGACAGTACTAGCACTCTGAGCAATTGAACTATTAGTTAGAGGGCCTTGGCTTGGAATAGTATTTCAATTATTTAAGAATTTAAGTCTTGCCACCTACACGACAATGAAAATAATCCGTAGGTGACGTAATTTTTTGCCGCTAGTTTGTTGTCAATAATGGCGCAGGCTTCCTCTCTAAAAAGGAAATATATAATAAAACAATTATTGAATTCGGTTTTCGCATGATATCGAGAATTATCAAGCCTCAGTTTGCGTTATCAGTTTGCGAATAATGCAAACTTCGGCTTGATAATTCTCGATATCACACTCAACCTCATCGAATAATTGTTAATTATTAATTAGGCTGACACAGAACAGACGCGAAGCGGAAACGCGACGCGAATTTGGAATTTTCAGAAACATATAAAATAAATTCTGGAAGCAGATTTTGGAATACTTGGACGCCTGAGCAGCCAAAACTGATGCTTATCAATAAGCGATCTACAAGAATATTATGATAGGATAAAATTTATTTGCTTTTGGAAAATAAAAAAACTTTAAAAAAAAATTGCGCCGCGTTGCCACATCGCATCCTGTCTGTGTGGGCTCTAGCACACATGCTTGCATAGATTCTCTAAGCACAAACATTTTACATTCCTTAATTCGAAGAAAAATCAATAATTTTTGGCACGAAAAACCTGTTCATAATTTAGCAATTTTCGATCTAATCAAATACTGCAATTTCATTGGTTAAGAGGGGTGCAATTTGAGCATTTATCGCACTCTTTTTTACTTGATTTTGCAACCAATTGTATGATTTTGAGTTTAATTGCACTGCCATTCGTTCCAATAGCATTATTAATCTCCGACCGCCTGGAACGATCCTCTGTACTTTTTTCATCCGTGTTTTTTTTTCAGGTTTCTGAGTTCTGATAATTAGGAGTTTTAGCAGTGACTACAAGAACGACAACACCAAATAACGAATTCTCACTGCTTGTATTTTGGCTAATGTTTTGTGTCCAAAATTTTCAAGAAAAGCACGAAGGAGTTTAAAGACGGTTTTTGCCCATAAAAGTATTAAATACACATCGGTTAGTTAACTTATAGTTTAACACTGCGAGGAATCATGGACTTATTTCGACAGAACTTTAGAGTCCTGTCATAGGCTCTAGAACTATTGACGCTAACTTTTCTCTATCTACTTAATAAGCAAGCCAATATAGCTATATCAATTAGACTGCCGTATCGTAACAGTAAATCCGAAAGAGAAGCGTGTTTATATAGAATGCTTTATCGCACGTTGAAACACATTTTTTTTACAAATTCAAATTTACAAATTCTCGTTCATTTGTCAACGAAATTCACTACAAAATATTTTGCGTAGTTTAAATTGAATTTGTCTAACTTCGTTATTTCAACCCCACTAGGTCAAAACAGGGTCAAAAGTGACATGAGTGCGTGCCTCCTGTAGTGTATGCATGTGCGTCACACGCTTAAGAGGCTTGAGTGGATTACTACACGTTGCACACAACGCGCTGTTTACAGAAAATAAAAATATACTACGAAACTATAAATATTCTTTTTTGCGCTTGATTTTGAAAAGTACGATGTCTATGCCGAGTATGAAGTATTTTATGTCATATTTCAAACACGATAGGGGCGTTTTATCATATTTATCATATTTATCATATTTATCTTGAAATTTTGTTTGGAATTTCACTCCTATATTTGGACGCCATCTTGAAAAAAAATGTAAACAAATTGCCTCCACAACGACATACGAGTTGCATAAAGTTAATTTACTCAGTGTAGAACGATTTTTATTTTATCATTTTGCATTCATAAATCTCTATACATATATAATACTATTGCTTTTCTTACGTTCTATATTGAAGGCAGGCGTGGCGGGAAATATATTGTATCATTATAAATAGCTACGTCACTAGCCAAACCTGAGCTTTAAACCTGATTGGCCGAGATGCCCGCCTCAAATGGCGGGAAGCAAAAACAATATGGCGGCACAAGAACCATTAGTTTTGAAGGAGACGAATACGACAAAATAGTGCTTAGTACTACCACCTCGCGTGTAGCGAAGAAAGAAAATAAAAACAACGATAACATTTATTTTTCGTCAGTCCAGTTATTTATCTAATAAAAAAATACATGTCAGATTTTATAAGCGATCGACTTTGAAAAGTTTGAAAAGTCGCGTGAATAAATTCGTCCAGTAGAAAACGAGCTTAAATCTGATTGGCCGAGCAGCCCGCCGTAAATGGCGGGAAGCAAAATAATATGGCGGCACAAAAAGACATAATATTTCGATTAACAAGAAAACAGCGAAATATTGCTTTGTTAGCAATTCTCGAAAATCATTACATATAGAGATAGTAGAAGACCATGTAATATATAGAAATTAGTGCATATGAAACAATTTCTAACAGAAATGATAGCGAAGCCGCCTTAAAAGAGCCAGCTGAACAAGCAAAAAGTTGAGACTTGAACCAGAGAGTAAAGCCTAAATTGGCTAAAAGGGCAAACCAAGCCAAGCTAAGGTATTGTTATTCACGAAATAGTGTACGGAACTACCAGAACAATATTAGCTGAGTTATTACTTTGCTAAGCAGAATACCTAATTTTTTAAATTGGTTTTACCTCTTTAAAACTTTATTATTCAAGTTTAAAAAAAATATTCAAGAAAAGGAATAGTACTGACTACTGTGCACAAACAGTGTAATAATGTCTATATGCACATTATTTGGTCCTGTGAAGTATGGCAGATCAACTGACTCAAGTTTACGTCAAGCTGCTCTATCAACTTCCAAATGTACTGTATTTTACTATACACATAGTAAAATTATTAAACCCACCCCTCACAGGCCTCACTTTCACACAAATAGTTTCAACATATCAAGATTTGAATTAGCTAAGCTAATCAGTGTTAGCTAAATTAAATCTTGATTGACCTCTGTCAAACATTGAAGTTTCACATGTATAAATATATGATGATTTTACATATATACCAAGGTGAAATTTCTAGAGAGGTCTGAAAATATAATACGTTTTACAGCTCTCTAGCTTTAGTAAGTTTTTGAATTTTTACCCTCTCGGCCTCTCCCTTTATTTTCAATTTAGACAAATTTGAAAAATGATTCTGGAAATTATTGCAGGCAACCAGCCCCACCTGCATACCGGCATCAACGCTAAATTTTACCACTAAATGAACTAGCTGGCTGGTAAGTGAAAAGCAATCACAATTTTGAATTAATACTAATGACACTAACCTGTACCATCGGCATCCATATCTCCAAAGCCTTCATCATCAAAATAATCTTCGAGTGAACTCACTTTCATTGGTTCCTCCTGAAGAGTTATTTCTTCAACTTTACTCTGATTCAATGTGCAGTCAAGTTCAACATTGCTAAAAAAATTTCCCAAAATTAATGAAATCCTGGTGCCCTAGCTAGTAAGTAGTATTTAGGAAAGATGTGGGTACATTTCCAGCCTTGGCTTGGGATACAGGTGCTCAGGGTGAGGTGCATTTATTTTTGTATCAGATCAAATTTTTGGAATTAAACAATGAAAAGAAATTAGTATGCATTATAAGTATATTGGTCTGGATAAGTTTAAAGATATATCCAAGACTTTGAATTTCTGTGGTTATGTTAATTCATATGGGACTGGACAATTAAGTTCTGGTCCTGCTTGAATTTGTCCAGTTTCCTGTTGCTAGCATGCAAAACTGTCTAACTTTTAATTTGCCCGGTGATTATGTATGTGAAGATTTAAATTAAAGCAGTATTTTTGAAGAAACATACATTTGAACATTACCACATGCCCCACGCCATTGCTGGCAACTGCCAGGGGGGTACACCCCCTGGTTTATTAAAGCATACCCCCCTGTTCATGTTAGAAATACATAATTTACAACCAAAATAACATGTGTATTTCTGAATGAATAAAGTTTGAATTATTAAACCATACCTAACTTCTGGAATCCATTGATCAAGTAAATCAACTTTCTCTGTGATAAACAAGGGGCAATCCATGATATCACTTACAGACTTTCGTTGCTTAACTGCCTTGTCTAAGCTTGAAGCACCTGGTCTGAATGTCACCTTAATGTTCACCAGGGTGTCAGAACAATCTTTTAGCAAGTACTTGGCTTTTCGTGAGTATATCCGCACAAGTCCGACAAGAAGATGGCTCGAGGTACGCAGGGCAATTGGCATTTTTGGGTGGAGAATATCTTGAACTATTGATTGCAAATTTGTCTCGAATATTTGGACTTTGCTGAGCTTCTTTTCCCAATGTGCAGCAAGCCATACTTTTGCCAGGGAGCTTCTTTTGGACAGGATGAAATCATAATGAAATGATGACATTTCTTCCTAAAATTTAATACAAAAATTATTGCTGACACAGAATACTTCAATCTATATGCTTAGGATATTTGAGTTTGACAGTGGCCAATCATAGGTTTAATGATTGCTCTCATCCATTGCAAATTGTCTGCAGCTATAAGTAGCTGTGTCAATATTGCCAACTTTTTAATGAGGAAGCTAGCTAAGAGCCTTTATTAAACCTAGCTGTTGGAAATGTTAAACTAATTTGCAAAATAATTTATTTGGAAAAGCATGAGTATTGATTTTTAAGATGGCAATCTTTCTGAGAACCACACACCACCACATATTTTCAAATTACAAGGTCTAATGCTTGCAGAATGTGCTCTCCCATGTGTCAGAACAATCAACTTTTCTTCTGTATATTGTAACTCATTATTTTCAGTAAATAAACTGCCCTACTTTAAAACAATTTATATGATTACATTTCTATGTTAATACTACAACCCTAAACCACTATATACCATTATAAACGTTCTCTTTGCCAGGCAATAAATTTTCACTGATCGGTAAACAAATAATGGAAAGTAATTTGCTCTCGCAAGACAAATGATGAATCAAAGAAAATTGTCAATGTTCACATGCTTTAATACATTACTTTGCTTGAAAACCATAAACTGAGTTGTATTTAATACTAAACCGAACTATTTTGGGCAATTTTACGCAGCCAATGACGGTATTTAAGACATCACACGTGGCCCCTAAACGTCTTGAAGTATTCGGTTCAAATTTGGCAAAATTGTCATTCAAACGTACCTCTTGTAAGACTGACACAAGCCTCTTGTTATCCCCGTTTGTTGTATAACACTTCTAGAACAGCAAAACGAAGATAATCGCGAAATTCTTGCACAAAGTATCAACAGTAAACGAACGAATAGTATGTTTACAAAATCGAACGAGATCTTGTGTAACAAAACTAAACGGTTTTCTGTGGCCTTTAATTTTGAAAGAACGCTGACAAAATACCCCTACGGGGTGGGCGAAGGTATGTTCTTGACCTCCGAAGAGGGGAGGGAAGAGAATGCCTATCAAAGACAATCTAATTTCATAATTACGTTATCGTCGGCAGAGATTACATTCGAATAATAAATGTAAAAATTCGGGAGAACCTTTTCTAATTAAAAAAGTCTTTTGCAAGTTGAACGACTGAAGAATCCTCGTTGGCTCGTTCCCAGCTTTCGCTGCACGCGAAAAACCTGGTAAGTGGCAACGAGAATTAATTGGTTATGTCTTATCATGTCAAATACTTTGACATGGATAAACACGATGTTTTAATGGTCAAATGCTTGTTTTATGTAAAGTTTCAAGCGTGTTTCGTGCTCATATACAAACATTAAACAATATAACCATGCTTCAAAATGGTTATGATGTCAAATATTTTGAAATGGATAACCACGCTGTTTTAAATGCTTGTCCTATGTAAAGTTTCAAGCATGTTTGGCGCTCATAATTTCCCTAGTACTAATAATGTGAATAAATTATACTTTCTTAAAAAAAAAAAGCATGTTTGGCGCTCATATACAAGCATTTATGGAAATTCCTGCCATACTTGATGGCAATTTCAAATCTGAAAGTGGAAGCACTGCACAGCAACAAGATTTTGAGGAGAGGAATTTTATTGCAATATTTACAAATAAGAACGATTTCTATACGTGTTAAAACATGAATTTTTATATGATAATTATTGCTATTTTACAGATTAGAACTATGTGGGAAAATATACAAGATCAATCACCTAAACATTACAGAAAAAGTCAGTATATGTCTCCATTTTTAAGACGATAATCGAACCACGTGATTAAACTCGTGTTTACATTTCTAGTCTAAAGCATAAGAACATTACAAAGAATGATCGGGCAAAGAGAATGCGAAAGAATGAGGGATAAATAGAACGTGCATTTCTCTCTTGAAAAGTTACTATTGCCAAATTGCCAATGGATATAAACTCAACTCTCGCATTATTTAAGCCGTGTAAAAGGCAGGCCCCTTGGAGACGAAAATCTTCCCAAATGCATCATTTTGCTGCAGTTCGACCTCATTGTCCCGTTTCAACAGCAAGCAACTGTAGAACTTGCAGGCGACCTGCTTTCGACTTTCTTGTTTGCCGAGCACGTCGAGAGCTATACTATCTCTTCTTTTAAGTTCTCTTTTAAGCGTGTGCATAAGTTTCTGCGTGCGTTTCGTCCATCTTCGGGCCTGAAATTCTTCGTATTTTTCTCCACTTGCTTGCTCGTCGTTAAGTTGGGATTCGGGAATGTCTTCGGCATTTTGCTCGAAGTCGACGCGGCTTTCTTCCTCGGGTATTAAAGGCTCCTCCATACCCCCTCCAAACTGCTCGAAGGTCACATCATTTGTGACTTCTGCAACATTCTGCCCGTCTTTACTTGGAGAAGAACTGGGATCATGGTTCCGTTTTGATCTTCTCTTACGGGGCGAACTAGGACTTCGTATTTTCTCAATAATCTAAACAAATAGGATGAATTAATAAATGGATACAAAACAATCTTTTTAACACTAAATCGGAAGTAACGAAGTAACGTGAAGTAACGTTTTCAGGGTCGCACATTTTTACAAGATATACACACCTCTTCTTCTGCGTTTTCTCTCGGGCTCTCAATCTCCTCCAGTTCCATTTTCTCGCCTGTCTCTTCTGGTTCAGGGGCATCCACGATCTTCGCTGTGAAATTTTGAACGATTATTTTATGAATTGCGGGCGCGATGTTTTCCAACGCTGGATTATGGAACAGTTTATCTGCGGTGGAAGTCTCCTTTAGTTTCATCCTCAGTTTGGTTGGCGGCGCCAGGGTTGCTGGTTTGACGATATCCTCGGTATTTGCAAGCTGGTTGCTGATCGCGCTGCTTGTTAAGATCTTTTCATCATCCACGATCAGCTTTCTTTTACGCTTGCTTCGCTTTTCTTTGCTCACTATTTCAATGGGCTCCAGAACAAAAGCTTCCTCGTCGTTTTGAACAATGGTAGTTTCATTGCCCATTGTCGTCACCTCACCAGCTTAAATGCAAAAATCATACAAAATGTTATTTGAAGATGATATATTTGCGCTTACCCTGCGTAAAATTTTAATACGCTGTTTTAAGGCCCTGTTACACGGTGCAATTTTTCCTGCAACTTGCAATGCAATTCTACTTTTGAGAGACGTAAATTTGGGAACAACGAAAGTTTGTGTTTATTACACTTCATGCACTTTTCTTCTGCAAACTCTTCACTAATTTACATCTCTTAGAAGTAGAATTGCATTGCAAGTTGCAAGAAAAATTGCACCGTGTAACCGGGCATTTAGTTTGTGTGGCAGAGATTCTTCACTGCTGTTCGTCCGTAAGACTTCTTTATTGTTTTAGAAGATACTGAGAGAAAAAGACACAAATTGTATTAACAATTAAAGATTGAAAAAAATGATGTAAAGATTAATCCCGGATTGAGTTAACCGTCTTTTGAACAACTGAGAATATTGTATAAAATCTTACCTGTAAGATCAGGTGATTCCTCTGCCTCATCTGTAGGCTTTTTTTCCTCTGTCACCTCATCTGTGTCCATCTTCTCTACTTCTTCATCATCTTTCTTCTCAGCCTCTTTGATCGAATCCAAGGTAACATCAAACGATGTCAATGGTGGAAGATCTTCCAATTGTGGCAGAACACCTTCTTCAAAATTTTCATCACCAAAATTATCTCCACCAAGAAGCCCACCAAATACATCATTATTCAGAGGATCATCGGGTTGTAAGCCTACAGAAAATAGCATTAAAAAGTGTCCAAAAATAATTTTGGAAAAATACGTACTAATTCCATGTGTTGATTAGCAATATAACATGGTAAATGCACTATTTTCTTATAAATCACTACAGACAGTTCATGGTTTAAGATTGTGTAAACGACTCAGGTAAATCAATTTTGCCCATGGTCACCTAATGTTTCAACTTGCCAGGTTGGTATCTCAGAATAGCATTGCAATACATGAGGTTATATATATGTGAAGATTATAATGCATCACATTTTCATTACTTCCAGTAATCATGGTGTGCACCCCCCTGTATATCCTTTACTGTAAATTACAGGCCCAAAAGTAGGGAAGGGTCTTGAACTGCAAAAAAGTCACTACATCATGCTTCTATAGCAGTAAATATATTCTACCTATTTTTTGCTGATCAGATAAGGTTGACCCATCTTTCAAATTAGACTCGTCCAATAATATGTTTGATTGATCCTTTGAACGTATGAAAGAGGAATCATCTAACGCAGCTCCCCCTCGAAGAACATCTTTTTCATCGCTAGCACCAAATGGAGTGTCTCCAAAACCTTCATCTTCAAGGTTATGCATTATGATGAAGTCTTCCTTCATTGTAATCTCCTCAGCACGACACTGGTTCAAATTGAATTGCACTTGGATGTCAAAGTCACTAGGTTAAGAAAGTTGTGCATTTTTGAATACAGGTTATTTCAAGAGGAACCAAATAAATATTATTATACGGATGATCTTCTGGTCACACACGTGACAATGCTATCCTATTTTGTTACATGCAAAATATGAAGCCTGAAGAAACTTTTATCTGTGACACTTCTCAGGAAGAACATCAATTTAATGATGATGAGAAATGCGTCAGTAAATAAATTGTTTATGTATGTATGTATGTAAACAGCAATGTCACGTGTGTGACCAGAGTGTATCTCCCATATAACAAATCAAATATCAAATTGCATGATTGAATTTTGCCATGTCAATAACCTTTCGGCAGTACTTACTCCATCTATTCACAGATGGTTTTATTTAATATAAATATGTATTTGAAATACTTCTGAAATACTTACTTTAGGCCTGGCAAAGGCAGGTCAAAATCGTTAAAAACCTCTGGTAGTGTAACCGCAGACATGGCAGCTTCTCTGCCATCTTCTGGTAGATCTACAACACCCGGTCTGAACGCCATCTTGATTTTCACAAATGCTTCTGTGCAGTCTGCAAGCAAATACTTTGCCTTTCTTGAATAGATTCTAACAACACCCAGGAGAAGGTGTCCAGATGTTCGCAAAGCCATTTTTACTTTGGGTGACATTATGCTCTCAACTGAGGACTCCACGTCGGTCTCAAACACATGAGCTTTGCTGAGTTTCTTCTCCCAATGAGCAGCTAGCCAAACCCGAGCCAAAGGGCCCTTCTTTGACAGGATAAAGTTGGCATAAAACATCTTTTAAGAGCGATAGGAAACCAATGGCAAGAATATTTTCTGAATTACGCCTAAATAAAGATAATAAACAGAAGTCAAGTAGCTGACTACAAACAGGTCAGCAACCATCAGGGACAATACATTTTTAACACATAGCAAAAGCTTTTGAAATTCAGGCTACTCAATGTTAGTATACAAATGGCACATATTCATCATATTCTACATTGTTCAATTTTTTTTAATTGATTGTTTTTACAGGCAGTGAACATGAATATATAAATATATCCAGCATACTATGGCTACCCCACTGGAAGCTGCAATGGTTACCTTAAATTTGCCAACCTATCTTGATTGGCAAATTGAGATAAGCCTAAATCGGCCACTAATGTCCACTTTCACAAAAGATTAATTATGACTATTGTATACCTATTTTATCTACAACAAATTAAACTTTGTAGGATAGTTTTCTCCTTTACATGAAAAATTTTCACTTCATGTTGGCATTTTTTTTATTAACTGTTGTCTTTATATAACAATGCATTAGCTATCAAAACAATATTTCTAAATGTTAATTAGTGCCTTTTCACACATGTAAACTATCACAACTCAATGTCAATTTAAAGGTTATTGGTTGTACTAATTAGAATTGGAAATACAACTATTACTATAGATGAAGGTGTAAATCACCAGTATGATACTACAAGTAGAATCAAGCCGAATAGAAAATGCCTAAAATTAAGTATGTTTAAAAAGGTCGATATTTCAAAATTATGTAGTATAGGGCATATATATAATTAAATTGTGTATGGGGCGGTAACTTTCAATTTAGAAATGCATCTACTGTTTGCTATCAGTGTCTCAGTATTAAAAAGAAACACTTGCTCAGGTGTCTAATCCCAATACAAGCAATTTCATGGTGGATATGATAGGGGACTCCAAAAATGACATATTTACATAATGTCAAATCACAAGTTAATAGAAATGACACTGGGTTGCAGTTTCTTTGTCTTATAATATATTTTTAAAGTTGTAAAATACTGCTGTTTGAATCATGGATAAATCAACAGAAATGCCTTCAATTCATGCAAAACATGCACAAAATGTATAAAACCATAAACAATGCGTAAACCACATGAAATGCATAGTGTACATCACGAAACAAAGCGTATAAACACAATTTTTGTATGCTTTCAAAGACTCCACTTCATCTGCAAACACTTTCTATGGACAATGCGGGGTGAATTTTGGGGAACGGTTAACATTGAAATTCTCAAATTCATCGTCACAGCTATTAATAAAACGCTAAGGCTATTTCCGTGCTAAAAGCCAAATGTTTAGGCAAACGAGCCCGGTTAATTTGAAAATTCATGAGCCTAAACAAAAGCAAGATAATCCACAACATGCTCGAAGCGGATTTGCCTAGGCCGCCAAAATTTAGATCAAATATTTTAGGACTCCGGCCACGTAAAACTATTTTCTTTTCGTCCAGAATTGTAGACTAATGTCTGAATTCATTTTGTGTATAATATTTGGTCGTTCAACTGAGAATATTGCACTATAAAACTAATCTTTGTGGACAACACTTCGCACAAGCTTCGCGGAAATACAATGTACATTTTTGCTACTTTTCCTTCAAATGCACGAAATTTCTGCGTTCTGACTGCAACATTATATGCCTAAGTAACTAAAGTTCACCATGCTTACCAATTTGAAGCGGAATTTGCTCTTGGAAGCTCGTTTTGCCAAGAAATTCGCTGAAAAATGTCCCACAACCAACATGGCTGCGACGGTTCGAATCAAAAATTCTTCCCGCCGAAAGATTTTGATCACGTGATACGGGAGAAAACGTGGGACAGCGAGGGACATATGGGGTTACTGGAAGTACCGAAAATGTGCATTTTCAGAAAAAGATCGAAGTTTAATATTTTGATACTCTTTCTCTCACCATATGTAACATTTCACTAACCAAACAAGTTTTATTCAACGCAAACACTTGAGAAAAAAGGTTTCAGGTTTAACAATGAAACATTGCTTCGCGCCAGGCCTGAAGACTTTAGGAAGGCAATGTGAGCGACAAACTTACAATTTTTAGGGAGGAAGAATTCGGAAAAAGAAACCGGTATTTGCCGAAACCGTATTCAATATGCATGATCACATATTTGTAGCCAGTTTTTTACTTTTTACTGTAACAAGGTCCACCATTGTTGAGAACTTATTATGGTTAATTTGGTCTATGACTGACGCTGAGATGGCCAACTGCTTGGCGCCAAAAGTAAACAGACCAGAAGGCGCTGGAGAAATCAAACTTTCCACAACAGTTCACATAGTTTATTCCCACTTTAAAACTGTTATTTACAATAACACAATTTGTAAAGTAACTTTATTCATTTCACAGCGCTCTGCACTAAATTTTCGCCTGATCCAGTCATGGCTATTGGCTAACTTATTTCCACAGTTGTGCCTGTGGTCAAATTAAAGTGAATACCTTGGATTAGACTGTTCTTTAGGGATATATATGTCAAACAGCCTATAATAAGCAGTTAAAATTATATAAAACCACCGCAAATAAAAAACCAAGATACACCAGCCTTTATCGGCATTTACTCCTTATTGAAGTAGAAAATAATCTCAACCATATTTTAAAAGTACCAGCTTTCTTATGTAGAATGTCTTTCCAAACTGGGCCAGCCATCATCAATTGAATAAATATACCTAGTTTCATGCACAAGTACTTAAACCGTAATATCTGAAGTTTGTTAAATTAGGAGCATGTTTCGTCTTCATTGAATGAACCTATTAAACTGAATCAATCCAGATTTATAGGACTAAACTGCATTTATACACCGGAAAAGTTTCATCGAAACGGAATGGAACAGGAAAGTTTTCGGAGAAAAATTTTTCGAATGCAAGATTTTTTCTGCCTGAAAATTTCTAATGACTTTAACTTTGTCTTTGGTTCTCTTCTCGCAACAGAAATATTTCGGGATGAAATTTTAAAAGATTCTACTGCGCATGCGGTGTGTAGAAAATTTTCGTTCCGAGGAAAATTTTGTGGAAATTTTCGTTTCGAGGAAAATTTTGCGGAAATTTTCGTTCCGAGGAAAATTTTGCGGGGTGAAAGTACAGCTATAATTTCATGTGGTGAGAACAGTTGCAGGTAAAAATAACTTTGCTAGACACCGTTCAATTGATCTCGAAATGATCTCGAAACTCGACTAAAAAGTATCTGTTCAAATACAGTACAACTATAAGCGGTGAACTAACCGTCATATGGTAACAACTCGTGTCGTTGAGAACAGTCCTGTTGAAGTATTAAGAAGAAAATTTCAAAATATTTGTGTAGGATGAATGCTTCTCATCAGCAAAGCTTAGCTCATTGCAGATCTTTAAGAACTTTAACACAAAATCTGAATATGAAGAACCAAAAATTGGAACCAATATTATTCTGTCTTTGTTCACATTGTCTCAAAAGTTTCTTGAAGACCTTTGTAGATCTAATTGTTAAAACAATATCGTTGAACGAAACGCTTCGCACACAGCACTCAGCTTAAGACACACCATGCAGTTCAACCAGTCATGCTGATCTGCCAATGTGGAGCACCATTACCCAAGCAATATTTTTACCTGCTACTGTTTACACCGCTTGCTCTTTGGCACAAACGAGAGTAAAAAGTGAAAACCCTAAAATTTGTTACTACGTTACTATATATTACGAGCATTTTGGTAGCAACATTCAAAATTTCCCGACCCAGTACCTCTCAAACACAATCATCCAAATGTCGCGCGTCGTCCAAGTGTCACGTGACGCGGACCTGAATTTCCTGTGAGGATTCTTTGATATTTATACTGTCTATACCTTTCTCTAAGGCATCTGTGATGATCGTAGGACAGTAGATATTCTCCATGGGTATTTGCTCATCTTCACAAGAATTTCTTTCGTTCTTGAAAACAGCCATGTCTTCGTCCTCGATATCTTTGTTGCTAGTAATTTGGTCTTTCTCAGTAGTGAAAGACCTGACCACTTCGTGCTCATCTTTCTCGCTTTCGTTTCGAGTCTGGTTAACATCGTGCTCAGTTTGCTCAGACTCGTGCTGGGGTTGTCCGGCTTCGTGCTCTGCGTTCCCGCTATCGCGCTGAAGTTGAACCATTTCGTTCTCGGTCTTCTCAGCTTCGTGCTCAGGTTGCTCGTCTGCGTGCTGCACTTGCTTAGCCGTGCTCTGAGCTACACCTGTTACGTGCACATCCGTCGAAATTTCGTGCTGAGCCTCAGTGCCGTCGCTAAGCCTCGTTTCGGTTTTTTCTGACCTTTGTTTATCACTGGACAACTGGGTTGCATGCTCTGATGGCTTCACTGCGATAGTGATCTGGTCTGTGACCTGTTTTGCTTCCACCTTTGGAGATCGTTTTGAAACGCTGGACTCTTTCTCGTAGAATACCTAAAAAATGAAAAAGAGTTTCTCAATGTTCTAACATCACAGTGGAGATTTTTTTTCGTCAAATTCTTCTGAAGGATTTGATAGAAATGATTTGTGGATATAAAAAAGTCTGCTAAGCCTTAAACGAAACCATTTTACTTACTGTGCTGTGGTTTTAATGGCAAAGTATATGTTTTTAAAGAATTGGATGCAACAAATATGAAATGCAAACCTTTTTCTCCCGAAGTTTTTCAAGAATTCCGGGGACATCGGCATTTGTTGAAGGTGGCTCCAGATTGAGCTTGAGAAATTGCTCAAAAACATGAGGATGAAGAACCAATTTCTAACGGAAAAAATGGACGCAAATCAGCTAAAATATTCTAGTCCGATCTATTCATTTTACTAATATTCTGACAGATCATTCGTCGTCAAGATGAACTATGTAGACGAAAAATATGTCAAACGAAACAGAATCGCGCGTTTAGAAAGTGCACGGGAATTGTGAAATTATATAATGTGATAAGAAGCGTGCATAAGAGCTTTTTTTGTATTTCGTCCCCACCCCGTATTCATACTAACAGACGGATGTTTTGTCGAGACAAACTACATGTTCAAATTCGTCTCTATGCGGAAAATTCGTGTTGACGGATGATCCGTCTGTTTGCCCGTGTTTGCATAATGCATAGACGAACTAGAAGACGAACTATCTTTTGCTTTCCCGAGTTCGTCTAGACGGATGATCCGTCTCTAGTATAAATTGCGCAAATATCTAGCTATGTTTTCATCCAGATGTTCATAATCCACGCTTACTTGTGCTAAATCTTTAGATTTTCGTCCTTTTCTGCTTCCCTTTCTCGTTATTCTGCGGCATGAAGGCACGAACAATCCGCCAAGATTATCATCGGGATCTGTCTTCATCACAAACGATCCTTCCTCTGGGATGCTGGATTCGAACTTTGGAGCTGAAAACACAATATTTCGTTCATGCACATGAACAATACCATCATTCTATAGCGCACTCGCCTAAATACGCACAGGTTGATGCAATATTGATATGAACAAAATTGAACAGCTCTGTGCCACCAATATTGTTCGTTAAGACTTGTTTGCAACATTGTATAATATTGTTACACTCGATTTATTTTCAACAATATTGTTCAATGTTGTTGAGTGTTGACAAGTGTGAAAAACATGGGCAGCACATTTGCCATATGGTTGTTTTGGGGGAAAATGTTTGTTGAAATTGCATACATTTTAAAGTGACCGACACCGAAACACAAATAGGGTGATTCTGCATGCTAGAAAAAAGATTACATGTAATATAACTATAAGTTCAGTCAACTCTCTAAAGGCCCGTTTACACGTGTAATTTTTGCTGCGATTTTATGTGCGATTGTCCTCTTTTGATAGATGTGAACGAGCGAATTAGTTACTGATGTTCAAATAAGAGCTCTTATTAATCAGAACATTCGTAACTAATTACTCATTCACATCTGCCAAAAGAAGAAAATCGCACATAAAATCGCAGCAAAAATTGCAAGTGTAAACGGGCCTTCAGATTGTAGACAATGAGAATACACGATACGTGATAACATACGAGAACAAGTTCACAGTATACTAATATAATACAACCTTACCATCAATATATCTGGGACTAGTCTTGTTTACAGCGTCGACTTCATCGCTTTCACTGGAGCCATGTGCGATCAAGGGTTCCAAGTAGTTTATAAGACAAACACAGATGTTTTTCTCCTCTTCATAAGGCCTCGGCTCCAGTCTTTTCTCTTCCCTAAGAAAAAAGCGTGACAAAGTAAAGACTCGACTTTCAGGGCCGTTTGTATAAAAGAGAAGTTAACTTTTAACTGTAGTTAAGGACAGAATTGGCCAATAAGAGTCGTGTATTTCAGGGTCGTGTTTGATCCACTGTTTTAATTCGCTTGAATATTTCTATTAAATACTTTGAAACTTAGGATTTGCCGTTTGCCAACTGTGATGACAGAAAATTTGACAGTGGTAACCTGGCCATAGGTGAAAGATGGAATAATACATATTTTGTGAGCAGGCGTTACGTTGCTAGAATTTTGGCAACTCTTAGACAAACTCGCCGAAATGCTGCTGGTCGGCTTACCTTACTCTATCAGCTGAGATCTTCGACAATCTTGTCTGATCTCGTCTTTGTTCAGCAACCTTCTTCTGCTGCAAATCTCTTTCAATCTGCTTCTGTTCATAATATTCCATTGATTCCTGCTTGTAGAGTCGACGACACTCACATTGTTGCTCGTACAAACTCTGAATTTCTGGTGACAGATGCAAAACACTTACTTTGCAATTGCATATAATAGGTTTGCTTTATTGAACAATTTTAGTTTGAAACAAAATTCCTCCTTGTTGAGTGGAATGCCCCTTAAAAATCAAACTTCCTACCGTTTGAGGTTGGAATCAGCATTTGCGAATATATTCTGTACCTTTCTTCAAAGTGTCAGCGTCAACCAAAGGCTTCTTTTCTTCATCTTCCTCATCATCTTTATTCTCATCTTTCAATGTATCCAGAGATACCTTCACATCGTTTTCCATCGCTCTGATTACATGACTTTCACGCATCAAAACCTGTGTAAAATAGTTTGTTTAAAATTATTGCTTCAAAATGATGTATTCAGGCATATGTGATTGTTGTTAGCACAAGAATTTAGTTTAGAAAGGTATTTTCTAAATCCCTTTTACCAATTACCTCATACTAAGAGTATTAGTATTACAAATACTCTTACCATTGGTCAACCCATGCAGGCAGTAACCTACCAATCTTTACACCACCACCCAGACAGTCAGGCACCCACCAACCAATCTTTACACAACAAGCCAGGCACCCACCATCCAATCTTTACACCACCACCCTGGCACCCACCAACCAATCTTTACACCACCACCCTGGCACCCACCAACCAATCTTTACACCACCACCCAGGCACCCACCAACCAATCTTTACACCACCACCCCTCACAATCAGAACTACAGTCTCATTGCTATACTTACATCTCTTTCACTTCTTAATCTGTTTTGTTTCACCCTCAATTGATCTAATTCTTGCTTTGCACTTAAATATTCCCTACAAAAAAATGAAACCAATGATTAGAACAGTATGTAATGAAATTATTTAAACCATTACAGTCACAGTATGACTGGGCATCACCTTCAAAATACATAGTTAAAGACGGGTTACAGTGGCTTTAGCACATCCATTCTGCTCATAACATTGGCTCATTACCCGACTGTAACCCACCTTTAAAAAGACCCTTTCTTATTTTAACATTATGTAATAATTCTTTCCTTTAATTTTGACAGCGGTACCATAGCAATCCGAAAGGTGACACTGCCCAATTCCCCATGCTCACCTTAAAGTTTTCTTTGATCTTTTTAAAGCATCAATTTCACAAACTAATTTCTTCTCCTCGCTAAGTTTCAGCTGACGCGTACTCAAGGTGAACTCTAAATTTCTAGAAGGAAGAGTTGTAGAAAAAGTAAGTTGAAAAATTTTATGAGAAGGTGAAGAAGTGTGTGCACTCCTACTGAAAAATCAAAACTATCTTCACACTTCATATTGTCAACAGATCAGAATTATAAACATGTTCCTACACTTAGACTTTTAAAATTTTTATAGCTTTTTTACGTAATTTGCCTTTGTCACAGAATGGTGCATCCTAAGGGGAAAATCTCCATCTTTCCTGTTTAATCTATGAAATTTGACCCTGACCTCAAGAAAACTAATCACTAATCATGAAATGTGCCGAAATTTTTCGTGTTTTTTTTTTAAATTTCACGTTGCTAAATTTGCGAAATTTGTAAAGTGGCAGATACCGAGGGCTAGTAAAGATTAGGGCAAGGAGGTTGCTCAGCATCAATGATAGCAAATACTGTACTTTTCTACTGCATTCTAGAGGTTGAAAGGGTCTTAATTTTGAGTGGAATTATACACACTTCAAATGCAAGCCAGGAACAGTTGATGGAAAAATGAGTCAACAGTCAGTCCTCTGGCAGGAATCGAACCTACACTTTTGCGATGTCAGTGCAATGCTCTTAATCGTAGGTTGGATTCCTGCCAGAAGACAGATAGTTGACTCATTTTTCAATCAACTGTTCCTGGCTTGAATTTGAAGTGTGTATAATTCCACTCGAAATTAAGACCCTTTCAACCTCTAGAATTTACCTACATCGAGTGAAGTGCCAAAAATCATAATTGATTTACCCCATTCTACAGCATGCTTGAAAATTGGAAGGTCAGTCTTGAACTGTTTGGGCAATTCCTATGCCATATTTTTATATTGTGTGTAGACTATAGCATACATACTTTATGGCATTGTTTGTCCTTTGTTCATCTTTATGCTTGACATTTGCTTGAAGCTTCATGCAAGTTTCATTCTGCAAAGGTGATATAATTCAATTTTTAATACCAGAAAAATCAGGCTCAGGTCGTGAAAATGGAATGTTTCTTCACATCAGAGACATCTCAAATATGTGAGAATAACGTAAAAGTTTTAACAGCCTTAAGCAAGCCATCTTGTATACAAAGTCTGTGTACAAAGTAGGAAGAGATTTCGTGCAAAATACTAATTAGGAAGAGCCTTATCAGGAATAAAATTTGTCACTAAGCTTATTACTGAGTGTTTAAAGAATTTGCAGATATCATTTCAAGGAGAATTTCTAAAACATGGCTTACTTTCTTCATCACAATTTCATTTAACGTTTTCAATTCTGCATCAATTGCTTGTTTTTGTTTCCATTTATTTTGCTTCTCACCAATCAATGTTCGCTGTTTTGCTATAAGTTCTTCGCGATTACCATGGACGGTCGATGATGACCTTCTTCTCTTTGGCATATTTAAACTTTTCTTGTCAATAAGTTAAGGAATATTCTTATCAGAGGTGGACCAGCCACTGAAAAATAATGCTAAAATAATCATTTAAATGCAAAATTCAACCAAATGCACTGTGATATAATGCTATTTGCAAACTATAATTAGAGATGATAGTTTCACGTCCTAGTTTCAATTGTGTATAATTGTTATGATTTTGAAGCCAATCTAATTCATAGCTTGCCTAACCAACCATCTAATATGGAATGCACCAAAAAGTGCCCATTTAATAGTCCAAAACCAAAAGATTTCACTCATTAGTGGAAGTGCATTGAAAGCTAGTGGGTTTAACAATATTAAACAACTAACAAGATATAACAGGTTTGCTTTCAAATTTTGAAGTCTATCTGTCCATTAATATCAATTTGCAATGTAAACAAATATGAAACCATGTTAGAAGGTTCTTACAAGCAGCTGTGTAAATGGCTGGTTTGTTTACTTGCTTACATGAAATATGTCCTGCTCATGAAAAGATGCTTTCAAACAACTAAGAATCTAGTATAAATAGGAGTTTGAATTTTAGATTATGCAATATGTACCCCAAATTTCACAAGTCGAAGATGAAAAAAACATCCCCCAGATGGGCAAATCAGGCCAATTTAAAGATAGAAAATCACCGATTTGGCAATTATAAGGTTGATAAAATTTATTATTCACTTACCTTATCAAGTTAACATTTAATGCTTCACCGTGGGCTATCGTGGGCTAAACACCTACGGCTACTAAATTTAGTCGTGACTGCAAATACAGTACTGAGTACTTATCATGCATTAAAAATTTAAAATCAATTTTTTAGCAGCGGCCTGCAAAAATAAATACTTGCTACGGTGTATATGTGTACTACGCTGGGCAAAGGATACTAGTAGAGCCTCTTTCTTTAGAATTAACTCCGTATATTGAGCCATTTCTAGTTGATGTGCATTTTTGTCGGGCGGCTTTACACGTTTACGATGCGATTTCATGCTGTCTTCATTCCCTGTTGAAATAAATAATAAAAATGCATAAAAATATGGCATAACCTAGTATTAAGCAAGGGCAATGGCAGATGCTCCTGGCAAGATACTGCTGTAAACAAGATTCCGTGTGAAAGGCATACAAAACGTCGCAAAATATTTGGTCATTTGCGTGTTTACAATTCGAAATCGGAAATCGCAAACCGGACATTTGTGAATGTCTTTAAACTGACCTTCGCAGCTAGCTTTGTTGTTATTTCCTTCGTCCATAGTTAGACTACTTCGAGATAAAAAAATTAAGAAGATTCCGTGTGTACTTTAGCTAAAGTATTTATCGTTTCGGCAGATTAAAAACAACAACAATTAGATGCACTTCCATCCAGTTGGACGCCATTTTGGTCACAGCGCGCGCTTAGGTTTCTGGGGCGTCATGGACTTTAAAATTAAAAATAATTGTGTTCAAACTTCAAAAATATTTTGAAAGTTTACATAACAAAGCATGTTTACCTAATACAAACATCTTTAGCAAATCCAAAAAGCTTTTGTTCACCTAACCCGCTTTTAAATAATGTCAGAATACACAGTATGAGAAGCAAATATAACTGAAATAGTTATAATGTGTACCATGCATTGGCCATGTTTCTTGAATAAATGTTTTGATCTACTTTTCCGAGTTCACTTGGATCTTGGTATCCCACGACGGAAGGAATAATATAGATTAATAATAATAATAACATAAGCTTGTACATTTTGTTGGTTAATCATTTTGCAAGTATAAGTAATTCAAAGCTCTGAATCACAACAACACCCGGAACTTGGGAGGCAGAGTTCTCCTTCTTCGAGCTCAAGGCTCAAAGTCGATTTTGCATAGCAATTCATTTTGGAGTTGGTCCAATGAATGCTTGGTAAACTCACTAAACTCATTCTTAATTTTATAATTTCGTCGTATTGGAAAGTGAGAAAATATAGCTAAAGTGAAGGAATGTATTCTTTACCTTTTTGCTCCTTAACCTTGACCTTGGCGTCAGTGTTATTCTGTTAGCCAGTGACAAAGTAAATTTACTTTTTTCACTTTACTTAAAAATTTGTATTTACTTTTAACCGGAGGTAGTTTTTTTGTACAATACTTGTAACTTGTTTTCTTCAGTCGAGCAATACTCAGTTTATCTTTTCAGTGAAAATCTGTATCCCGAAGCAAAATTTTTCATTCAGTACTTTTACTTTAACTTGAGCAAAATTTCCCGTCAGCATTTTTTACTTCCGCTTAATACTGTAACATTTTGTGTGTGTAATACTTTTCGCTTTTGCTTCAGTAAGTAAGTTTGCTTAAGTAAGTAAGTTTTCTGAACGAAGTTCAGAGGACCAATCTTTGCCCTTGGTTCAATTTGGAGAGTTTTTGTTGTCCCTCGAAAAAGTTCAGTGGCTTAGTGCCAGTGCTCGTGGTAACAAGATTATCCCAAAGCCAAAGGGCTGGCCCATCCCGTCTCAATCGATCCCAACTCAGTCATGATACCTCGAAAATGTTTTAAAAAGGACGGAAAAGTACATTACAGTTTGACGTCCGACAATCCTCATTCGCGCACAAATAACACCAATCACTTCTGACGTATGGAGTGTAGACTGTTATTGATCAAGCAGTGCTGCATTGGCTTTAGTTAGTTTGTTGCCTACAAGCTGCCCGTATACATATTGCAAATCAACCGACTATAAATTTGATCCATAACAGTCCACACTCCTCCATACGTCAGAAGTGAATTGGATCCGACAAAGTTGGATCCTGCGTGGACAGGCCTTAAAAAAGTAAAATGATGAAACGTCGGAGCTTGCGATCAATTTCCGTTTAAATTTTAGATTCTAGCTTTCTTTGGATGTCTCAAATTGTATTTTTTTAGTGCCTTCAGTTTCGTTCATCGACAAAAATCCCAGTCAGTGATGCACTCATTTCACTGGTACAGAACTAAAGAGTCAACTGCGAAATATTTCCCGACTTCCCGCCAGCGCTCAATGCTTAGCGGACAATAAACCGTGACAGAAATGACCTTTATTGCCTTATCTTACCACAACAGAGTCTATGATACTCACTCAACTTTCTATCAAAAAATTAAGTGCTTGACTTACTTTGACTTGGCGAAGTGAACTCCTCGGATTCAGAGCAAGCAGTGGAGCAAGCCATATGGATGAATAGAAACACAGAAACTCGTGGAACCGTTCCAGCCAAGCATCTGTTACAGACTGGATTACTCTTGTTAAAACGCCCACGATTTGTGACATAAATATCAGCTTCTAAGTGGCTGCAGAGCAAATCAAGCATACATTTCAATCATGTGATAATCACAAGGCAAGTGAATACTCAGAAACTGTATAATTTAGCGGGAATTTTCTAAAGGCCAAGTGGAATCGTTGCTTAGCAATCGTCGAGGGTCTGCACTCTGCCGCTACGAGATTTGTTCGCATAAGATATGGGTGTTCCGTTTTGAACTTTAACAGTGGCTTGTTTTGTTTATTATAGTCGACTTTAGTACCATGCACGTTTTAACCTGTGTGTTTATAGGGGCTGTGCTTACACACAAGCCCAGACTTGGCCTGAACTTGACCTTTGCAGTGTGAACGGGAATTGGCAGGGCTTTAGTCTGGAGATCTAAATTTATAGTGATGGCGAGTGTGTGTATGACTCAGGTGAATTAATATTGTGATGGTGCTAATCTGAGGTAACGAACGGGCAAAATGAAAATGGTGGAAACATATTAGCCCAGTTGGAAAAGCATTGGACTAAAGGTTATAAATTTGTTTGGAAGCCTGAATTTGAGACAAAAACAATATCAACACTCAGATACTTACAACCCTATAATTTTCGTGGTACATTCTTCAAATGCAACATTGTGAATTTAAATAAATTGTAAATTCAGCATGAATTAAAGTTTACTTACTGAAAGTTTGGCCGTTTTGACCAGTCTAGCAAACTTACAGAAAGTTTGCTAGACTGGTTTAAGGACCTCATACTATGTCTTTAGAGTTGTCTGGAAACTTTGGAAGCAACAATGAACCATACCATAGCAAGTCTCATCTTTCCATCAACCGTAATTACATTCTATACATTCTGCACATACAAGAGCCATGTTTTCAAACACCGGTTCACTTTGTGAGTTTGTGAGTCTGTTTACGGGTGGGGCAGGTTACTAAGCAACTAAGGGTTATTTTGAGATACAGAAAGAGCACTTCAACCCATCATCAAAAGTTCGAGCAATTCTGGAAATTGTCAACTTCCGTCGTTCCATCCCTCGACCCGAAAGATCCGCGTTCGTTGACCAATGAAAAACGCGAATCACAGACCCTAAATTGTTCTAATTTATAACTAAATGGCAATTGAATTGTTTTAGAACATGATAATTAATTTGATCAAATATTTAGAAAAATATGTTATAGCATCCGCGCTTATTACGCCAGCCCAATATCAAGCTGAATGTTAATTGAATAAATGCACTTGAGGGTCAATTGACAGTTGAGGTCGCCTTTTCCAACTCTACCTAAGCGAATGAATTTTCCTCAATCATCATATTTGCAATGGAAGAACCAGGCAGGAACCGTAATCTTAGAATATCAATGTCCAGCATAATATTCATAAAGGCCCGAAACAAATAAATGTAATATACAGTGAAATACGTTTACCATATAAAATTGTCAACGGAATCGGGCTATTCGAATTCGTTTAATTTATCAGTACAATTAATCGTCGATATAAACGTGAGTCTTTTCCGTTTCGGACGTGTTTATAGTATAGACTGGTTTATTTAATTGTAAATATATAAAATTGATTATTTTCGCTCAGGCGAGGAGTTTTGCGGAATATGTAAAGTCTTCATACAAAGTTGAAGTACCAAGCCGGGCAAGCCCTCCTACAGTTCAATGTGCGTCAAAGGAAGAGCACTGAAGTAACTAACACAGTAACGTTATAATTTATTCAGGAAGTCAAAAAAAGTGGATCATTCCGTTGCATTGGTAGTGTTTTAAATTCTGTATGACATTATACATGCAGGTAGAAATCTTAGTGAAGTATTGTGAAACTAGCTTACGGTTGGATCGGATTGGATTAGCGGATAGTATATCCGAGTTAAATCCACAATCCTTTTGCTTGTGTCTGTATTGATGATTCAATATACGAGTTAAGCTTTAAGCTTATGTTACAAACATTGGAGCTAGAATATGTAGGCATTCAACTATTTACTATAATAACTCTACCGTAATAGTTTGCACTTTCTTAAAGACAAAGTGTGTATTTGTAGATTTTAAACAAAATGCCCTTTCAATAGCTCATGCAGGAGTGTCTTTGAGCACGATAACATTTTATTTCATTTTGTTGGCTGCAATATGGTGATAAACAGCCATTCAGCTGGTTTGAAGCGTTTTAACCTTCTCATCGCACGATTTCTCGATAAGTTTTCACATTGTTCGCTTGTCGTATCTTGTCGTAGTTTGTCGTGCACAGTTTGATACAGTTGACAAACATTAACGAGTCGATTTTTTTATCAGTTCGCTTATCTCATTTGCAACGAATGTACATGAAAGAATTATATAAGAACACAATTTATTGAGCCCCGGAGTCTATGATTTAATTTAGAACACTAATGTCTAAATGTGGGTAGTATAACCACGAGGTATAATAAATATGTAAAATTGGGCGAATGTTGCGAATTAATTATATCAGTTTGCATGCCACGTGTACAACGCTGACGTGTCCGAAAGTCCAGACTCAAACGTCATAGCGCAAATCCCCATTTGCAGAGGTCACAGCTGCTGGCATGCGTGTGAGCGGTTGTGGCCTCTCATCCACTCATCGCCAAATTTATCGCGGCGAGTTGGCGAGTTAGTTTTGGCCGCCAAAATTGACCCGCTGCCGAGTAATTTCGTTCAATCACAATGATTGACAGCTTATATTAATAAGACTGATGCAAATGCCCTAGCCAGTTGCGAGTTGATTTTACAATTGAAAAGGCCGATGAAAAGCCTTTAAGGTAGAATATATAAATGATCGGGAGACCAAAATAAAATGGGATTATTTTTCGTTCCAGTTCTCGGATTCAAAAGGAATGTGGCCACTTGTATATTAGTCATGAGAATTGTCGCATCAGAGGCGTAGATTTTCCGTTTCACGGGAGTCAATATGGTTTTCTAATAGTAAAAGAACAAAGTTACTTTGAATTCTCAGCATTACTAACCATTAGCTTCAAATCACGTTCGAGCATTAAACAATGAGACCTTTTGACGATCTCGCAACGTGCTGGGTGACACTGGATCACCACGGTGGACAGAAAGGCTCATTATTATTAGGTAATTAATAGTATTATTATTATTAAGTCATCAAAGTATTAGCAGTTAATAGTGGCCCTGCCCAAACCGTGATAAAAAAGCTTCAGGAACCTGCTTGGAGGTGATATAACCTAATAATGTCAATAGGAAACGTTAAATATGTTGACTTACGTATAATTTTATAGTGTGACTCTTTCCCCGAAGGCAAAGTGGATATTTGTCGATCCGGCTACTGAATTAAAATTTAGTTACAATGAATAGAAAGCATAGCCTAACCTTTGACTAATATATGCTTGACTAATTTTAGAAGGTACTAAAACAGTGTTAAACAAAGAGCCGGTAAAACTGAAGATAAGGCGACTGGGTGATTATTTTTTTAAATTACGCTCAAGCAGTGTGGGGGTTCATGCAAATGGCTGGTGATAATTAATGAATAAGGAAGTTGCCATTTCCCAATCGGGCTAATCATATCAGTTCAATTTCAAGAGCAAAGTAAACTCGCTATCGCCATCTCTATTGGCATTTACGAATTGCAAATCACCCAGCACAACATTGTACAAAAATATGGTTTTATTCTAACCTTTCTTCACAAATATCTTATAATAATAATAATATAATATATTATATAATAATAAACTACACATTTAAATAATCTTGCTATTTAAAATAACCATCCCACGTATCACTGATGTAACATTCAATGTTTTTTCAGTCCAATAAGATTTAAGCATTTGTGACGAGGCGTTCGAATTCGCCAGCCACCAGCTCACGTCATTTTTGGCGCGAATGACGTCATAATCTGTCATCGGACGCCATCTTGGTTTATTCTACGAATCTCAGTTACATCTGCTTTGAAGCAGACAAACTGAATTGTTTGACTTTTTTTATTTTGTTACTTCTCATGATGTCGATCGTATCATTCGCCGCGGTTGGGTTTTGAAATACTGCGATAATAAAAGCATGATTTTAGCCTGCACCGCATGTTTGAAAATTGAACCAAGATAGCGGCCATATTGCAAACCAACCATAGTGAAACTACATAGTTTTCGCGATCAAATTTAAGCAATTGTTCAAGGCACGTTCTTACATCAAAAATTTGAATGCGAAATTCGTAATCGTATAGATTCGTAATCTATATGAATCCAGTCCAGCAAGCTAAGGTTGCTACTCGTAGCTAAGGATTAAGCTTTAGAAAAGGGTCATAAGTAGGGATGTCGTATGTATATATCCAATGATAATACAATTATCCTAGTTGCGATTATAAATACCCTGTCTCTGTCAAATATCTTATTGTTTTTGAGCTATACTGAATAAAACAGTCAAAGTTGCTTCACTGCATTGTGAGTTTAGTGGCTAGACACCAAATGTTCACGCCACACGCTCCGTAACAGAGAAGGTTCACGAACGAACAAAACATATGCATTACTAAGAATTGTTTTCGTATCGACATGTATTCGGCGTCGTCTTTGACAAGATTTAGGCAAACGGGTCCGACGCCATCTTTGATACCGAGAACTTTGATACGGGCCGCTCTGACCTCAACTAAACGGACTGTTTCTGGACCAAGATACGTAAGATTGAACACGCAACACATCAGAGAGACGATTAAGCCGATTGTCTAAAACGTAAGGGAATTATCAATTTCATCAAAGTGCATCAGTTGAGTTCAAATTCCAAACAAAAAAACTTTGAGTGTTTTTTATATGCGATGACAATTATAAACACTGCTCAAATTACTTCATGTTTCTCCTTGGCACGTTCATGAAAAATCAGTTGCTTTTTTAACTATTTTACCATGCAATGCAATGACTTATGGCATGTACATTCAAAAGCACATCTGTGTCTGTGAGTAAATTTTACAACTGTAAAACTATGCTTGACTTATGTCAACTCTACTGGTTCTTCGTGTATAGATAAAATTACCTATCGTAATTCTTATTAAATGCCTGTCGTGAATGAAAGAATTCCAACATCATAGATTACTTGGTGTTTGTCTCAAAGTTCAAGTGCATATAGTTTGACTGTTTGATTGTTCAATGTCTATTGCTATATATACAAGCCTTGGATATTATTCTGAATAGGCAGACGCTTTCGGACACATGGGCCGAAAAAAAACATTATAGACAACTATTCCATTGTCTCCAAAAGATCTCTCACCTGATAAAATGCCATTCTGTCCCCTTTAAACGAGACGACAGGATTAAGATGAAGATGTGTGAGTAATGCCACGGAACTTGTTATAAATCCTGCCGTGAAGTACAGTGGAAACATCTTGCTCTGAACCGCAACAAAAGCTGTCCTTTTCAGAGTCTTGTACATCGTGAATCCTTTTTTACAATAATAAAAAATGATACACTTTAGTCTTTAGATTCCTAGCGATGCGCAGCTATTGTGTATATAGGTATGAATGACGTGAATTCTGAAATTTGAGTTGGCGGTGCTGACGAGGGAATCGTGCAGAATATCATTTAGGTAAATCTATACGAAATGTCGAAATCCTATATAATGTCCAGTTATATTCTATGACTATATATAAATATATATATGTTCGGTGCATAACAATAGTGGCTGTTTTGAAAAGCTGACGGCTTCTCTTCTGCTCAGGACCAATGAAACAGACGCAATGAAAATTAGCCAAGTTTAAATTGAAAAGAATTGAAAAATTAAAAAGACTGAAATTAAAAATTGAAGTTATAAAGCGCACGATTGTTCCCGGCAATCACGAGCTTTCAAGGACTTATAAAAGACAGTCTTTGTGACTTTATTTTTTTTCTATATCTAAAGCGTTGCTAAGCAGCTAAATGAATTGAAAGAAAAAAACTAAAAATATCCAACATCGCACTTTGAATCATCAGACAGGTCCCTGCATCAATGCATGACCTCTGCACAAAAAATGTACAAAAAGTTTTTTGCTTTTTCGAGTGGCCTTTGATTCGAATTTTTTTCTTGAAATTTATCTAGCTTCTTTATGAAATAATTTCCAAGCGCGTCACACCATTGTGAACTAGGTTCATGCATGCCAGTTGGTGTTGTTTTGAAGTATGTCCTCAACATATTTGAGATAAGATATATTTTGCTGTTAGCCGGGTTTAGTGTCTCTCAGAAAATTCACACGGTCCTGAGTTAGTTTCAGACAAAACAACGTCACCATTTGATGTAGTTTATAACAGAATTAAATAATATTTTCATTCATCAGTGCAACTTAAACCCAAATATTTGCCGAACGCTCGGATCTCCAGATTTGATATTTTTCAATAAAATAAAAATAGACATTGGGCAATAATTGTGTAACTGCATGACTCGTGTTAGAATATTGATGGAAAACCTTTTAGAAAATTCGAAGATACCGACGAGAAATACATTTACTGATGCAACAGATTTATGCATAAGTTTCAATCTGATAATGATTATACGGCTACAGCGAGTTCTTCATTTTGAGCCTTTCTAGCCATTCAACTCACAATATTGCAATGTGATCGATAAATCATATCGTATAATTATCAGAGTTTGTTTAACGAGATATATTTTAGGCTTTTACGGGTAATTTAGCTTTAGAGTTTAACTTTAAGCTTAACGTCTGCATGTGCCATACAACTGCAGATAAAATCTATCTGTCAATCATTATTTTCACATGCCTAATGGCCAATTTTTTGGCAACCGAGTTCAAAAATTTTTGTTTCAATTCAGGCAGCCTGCCTGTTAACTCGTATTATATGCAATAATCCGGCTTTCGTATTTAACCATATACGCGACTGTCAGACCCTATCTTACAGAATCTATTATACATGATCTTACGATTTATAAAACATGCCATTTATTTGTGTTTTGATCAATAAACACATCTCACCTGAAACGTGAATCCAGAACTGAACACCAACCCAAGTGGCAAAACTGAAAAGGTGAATGAATTGGACAGTGGTCTTCGTGAGTTCCGACGATTTTTCTCGCTTTCTGTCGGATGACGTGTACATCACAAAGCCAACGGTGACCAGAAACGCCGCTGCGTGCGAAAGCACTCCATTATGGGTCGGATAAACCGAGTGTTGAACTGTTTTGCCTTTCATAAACATGATCTCGTTTTTAAATATAATGAATTCACTGTATTTCTATGTCCTGTGCGAAAGATTCTTGCTTCTATACTGCTTTTGCGAAATCTTCGAGTTGATCAAATCACCAATGCTGCTAACCAGTCTAATGAGGTTTTCGCAGATGGGTCGGCATTATATACGCTTCGCGTGTTATCATAAGTCGTGCGATTATGCATTTACAAGTATCGTGTTACAGTCTTAATGATCTGAGTCTCAGACTCTGAGATAAAAAACACAGGTGTTAAAAAATGCACTTCACTCAATAAAGGCTAGTTTAGCGATGGTAGGCTTACAATGCAATTATTTGGCCGAAATAGAGCAATTTTTAGCCGAAGCAAGTCTAGTTTGAGGAAAATACTAGAAAATTGGCTGGGTGTTTGATAATAATCCTAAGAGCGCTGCGCAAGCCGGATTTAGAGCATATAGCCATATAGTACCCTCAAGTACTTCCTTCCATATAATTTGGGTGATAAAATATGTTAATTATATGTATATCAGAACTTCCTGATTTTTTGCTGGGAGTTCGACGTCAGTATCGTGGGTGGCAAAAACCGGTTATCGTGGTGCGTCGCGAGTAAAATGCTTTTGACCCACTCACTTATTTCATTACGTTGCAACTTTTTTTTCCTCGTTTTTTTCGATCAATAGGTAAATTTCAAGATCTTGATAATCTGTATTAGAAAACGCTAGATTGCAGTCAAATCTGTCAGATGAATTCGTCATCGACGATGATTTTTTTATTTCATTATTTACCTTGCTGTTGGCGTTGTTACTTTTCCGGAACCAATGTGGTTTGGTATAATGCCAGCATTGCACGACGTGAGTATTTTGATTTTGGCTGGAAAGAGCAGGTCGGAATTTTTTTTCGAGGAAGTTTGCAAGTCTCCTCCCTTACGTCTGTGCTTAGCCCAAAGGCTTCTTAACAAATGGATATTTCCAATGCGATTTGCTTCTTCTATTTGATAGATGCGAAAGGGTGAAGAAGTGATTAATGCTGGTTCATATAAGTGCATATATACATGCATCAGCTAATGTAAAATGTAAAATCATCCCCCCCCCCCATCATTCGTTACATGATCATGATGACGAAACACGCACATAAAATTGCTGAACATAGCAACAAAACGGGCCTTGAGATTAGATTTTTTTCGCATGGGAAGCAAAACTCTTTTGCATCATTAAAAGACGAAACTCGCACATGAAATCGCGTAAAAAATTGTAAACGGGCCTTGAGATTTGTCGGTGTTTTAATTTTTTTAATACGAAATCAAAGTCGTATTATTTTGCCTTGACGCCCACGATCCACGCGTCACGACCCACGCACTCATCGACTAAATATGACGTATGTTCGGGAAGTTGATCGCCCTGAGATGATGAATATTGCTATGACGGATACCTTAATTGTTGTTGACGCAAATGATACCTTCCATTCAGCACGTTTTGAAGTTGTCAAATCAGAACAGCTTCCTTGAAATAGCCGTTGATGTAGGCAAGACCTCGGCGGGAAAGTCGTATCGGTACAAATTGATTCTGTTATATATGCATGGATAGATATATACGAGATGAAGTAATTAAGTACGGAATGAAAAATCAGAGAAAATGCATGGGTGTTCTTACAGAATATCGGCAAGCAAAATACTGTTCTAAACAGCTCTCCTGCAAGTCCTATATATGATCCAGGAGATAATTACTCTATAAGACGATTAAAACACCCAATAGCTCTTTACTTCCTTGGCGGCCCGAAAGAGTGAAAGTGTCTATTAATAATTCCCTTCTTAATTTTCACCAATTTTCACAAAACAGCCAGACAGCATTCGATACATTCTGCAAACGTTTGTAGGTGATATGATTTTGCAGCGAACCATGCGAAATTTAGCTTGCATCGTGTTGAAATTGTGAATTTTCTAACTCTTAGCATTCCCTGTACAATCGCGTGGATTCACATGTGTAATCCATGTTGTAATCCAGTTATAAAATTAACGAGGGGAGCAAGTAATCTAATTACCGCGGCACGGCCTATTTTCGTGATATTTTTATGCATTAATCATGTTATTTTAATATCTTGCACATCTCAGTTTCCCAAAGGCGAGAAAAACAGCCTCCAAAACACCGCGGGCTTTAGAATATTTGGGATTCATCGCGGATTATATGCACAAACAGAATATATTTACAACTTAGTAAACCCAATTCTCTTAAAAATCCAAAATATCTTTCACATTTCCGTTCGAAAACATGTCCAGTTAGACCAACATCAGTTCGAAGAAACGACGGAAATTGGCGAAGTCTACAGCCTATAAGTCATGGGTTTTATAGTCCGACGTGGACACCGTCTCATCAGCAATACATGCCGAAAAACACGAGAATATTTTGGGCGTAAGTCCGTTCTCGCATCCATCGGTTCACAAATAGATCGCCGCGTAAGTACTTGGGGAATTTTAATCCGATATATTCGCGAGGTTCGTATCAAGATTTTGCCTTTCCGATGTTGGAAAATTTTCCAAATAAAGTAAGAGACATATAGTTCAGTTGAAGGAGCCTATACCCTCGGATAAAAAGTCGTTACAATCAGATTAAGAAACCGCGCTGAATTTAAAGTCGAATTTTGAAGTTAAATAGTTGACCGCTGCATTTGCACATAAATGACGTAATCTAGTGGCATTTTTTTATCTGCATGACGTGTGTTGTTATTGTGCTCTGACCGGAACGATTCAATACTGTCGCAGGGGATTTACATTTTACAGAAGTGCATCAGAAAATCCCAAACAAACAGCATGGCTTGTTGAAGAAGAGGATACATATATCGGAAACGTTTGTGGGTGATGTTCTTGGCATTATAGCTTGTTGTAAATAATGACATCATCAAGCACTCAAGTAACCAGAAGTTCACTAATATTTCAGGCTTTTCAGTTGAAAAGCTTTGGCAAAAACCAATAAACATAACAACCAGTCTACGATAAAATATCTAAGTATTCCGATTTTAGCAAATGTTTTAAGCGAAGTATAAATTTAAAAGCTGTAGAGGTTGCCGTCAGTCTGTAGCAACTATTTCAGGTTCAAATGATCTACTTTTTAAAGCGATATATCATATAGCCTTTGCTCATATGTGTCTAGAATGTCATTGGTATGCAAAGTTTTAAATGACAAGAGTAAATGAAACATGCATCCTAAATTTCTGTTAAAGTGAAGAATGTTTTCAGAACGCTAAAGCGGTTTTTGAAAGCCAAACAATTCATAAATAAACGAAAAAAGTTAACCTTAAGTCCTTATGCACATACTTGTTATTGTTGCCATGTAAAAGGTGTTTGCAAAAAAATTAGGTCAAAGACCAAATTACGTCTCATCTTTATTAAAAAAAAATAAATGAAGAAAATGCTCAAAAAGATTACCAGATATCTAAGTGCTTGCAATGCAATACTCTTGAAATGGTAGGCACGCTTACGTCAGCCAGTATTACCTTAATATCTATCCATTTAATATAATATCCATGCTAATTGTGATAACAAGATGGCTGAAGTGCATTTCATGATAAAGTGTTGTGCTCGGAAATGGCTTTAAAAGTCAACCGGTCTTCATCCTATTTACATATAATCCACGCTAATAGTAAAACAAGTTATACCATGAAGTATTAGCCTCGGAAATGATTCGAAAAAACGAAACTACGTCCCTTAAAATTACAAGTTTAAACATTAATAAAACGGGATTAACTTTCACAGAGCTTTCTTCACCTGTCTTAATTAATCGCGTGGAATTCCGGAAACCTCCGGAAAGCTCCGGAATTTACTACATGCGCAGGTTCGCACAGTTTGAGATTTTGAATGAGGCATATGGAAAGCGTACAAAGATAAATACTTAAGTTTGACGATATAGTTGTGGGTCAGTGAACTGAAGATATTCATTACAATTTCGTACATTGTCTTGCCAAGTCTGTTTATTTTTCAAAACAAGCATAATTAACCATGGTCAATCAGAATTAGTCGAGAGCTAACTCATACCGTTTTTGAAAGATGAACAAGATTTGCGATTGAAGATGTATTACTATGTGATTTCGACGAGTCAATTTTATTCGCAATTTTAACACTGATTTCGATAAAATATATAGAATAAGCACTTTTAAGGATTGAAGTAGCTCTTGGAAGAAAAAAATATGATGGAAATTAAAATCCCCAATCCGAAATATAATGTATATAATAATATCGCAACAATCTATACACTATATGGCAGAATGTAAGAAAGCAACACTCTGTATTCTCTATATTTGCTAATAGCTAATTGTCATCTCTGCATTACCTCAGTCCCATAGCCTCCTAGGACGGACTAGTTTGACAAAAACAGTAATTTGAATTTTGAAGTGATTGAAATCGCTAAATTTTGCGATGACAAGCAATGAAAGAAGTTCCGTTACTTCCATAGTTATTGCTATATACTATATAGCAATATTACACATTTAAATATTTTCAACATACAGGATGAAATCCCAGACAGAAAGTTCAAGACTTTTATTATTATGACTGCACGAGAGATCATAATTTATAACAAACACATGTTTCGATAGCGTCTATATATAGACATAGTATAGAAATGTTAACAGTTTTTGATATTGTTTACACCCGATTGAACTAAATTATGTAACTAACCATCTGTTCCAGTAGAGAAATTAACGTAAGGTTTAGAAACAAGATTATATTCATATCATCATATCAAGCACCGCTACTATCGCCAAATATGTTAATTTAGCGCGGAAAACCCGAATCGTGGGGTTTTATGTGCAAGCAGTATGTTATGAATAAGTAACTATAGCGATTATATTCTATACGAGTCTAAAGTAAAAAAAGTTATGTTCACAACATATAAAATTAAATATGAATAAATTGATTCAGTCATCGCAGGTATTTCTGAAACAGGGGGCATATATTCAATGTTATATGAATTTTGACTTCATGTAACAAAATACTATATACGTAACTATAGGTATATATAAACGTTGTCGGGTCTAAAGTGGATGCGTTAAGTCGTAACGTACGATATCGACACTGCATGATTATAATATTAAGATGCAAATCTTTTTTGCGTCATTTCAGGTCTCATTTGCATAATTTGCCCGTCGAAATGTCACTGGCCTAACTGATAACGACGAAATGTCTAGCCCACGGTTTACGTACTTGCCGTAAATTCTATTGTGATAAC